CAACTCTTTTTGCTGAATTCAAAAAAGTGGGGGGTGCTTGTTTAAGCATTGTGGTGAGACATGATCATGATTATTTTTTTAATCTTTAATGAAATGTTTGTTTTGAAAAAGTGCATCTTCAAAATGGGGACACTTGTGCAGGAGCCAAATCTGAGCCCAGTCCTAATGTTCCTGGTTTGGATGAGGTTCTTGAGTTGTGCTTTTCCCCATCCCACAAGCACCCGTGAGCATCAGCCTGCTGTTTATTTCAGAGTGCAGGCACACAGCTGTCCCTGACGCTTGGGTGATTTCTGCTCTGTACTGGAGGAGAARGGATTTGACACCAGCTTCTGAAGTTTATTTGCAGTTTGGATTCATTCCCCTTCCAGTSGGATATGTGTGTTCAGAGGCAACTCTTCTGCTGGAGGTGACTGATGTGGATGTGTCAACTACTGTTTCCAGTTGTTCCTGGGCACCAGGCTTTTGTGAGGAGAAGCATCTCATGGCTCTCTGTTGTGAAAAAAAAAAAAGGATGATGAAACATTCTAAAGTATGTTTTCATACTTTATAATAAATTACTGTGTGATTATTCTTTCTAACRTCTAGAATAGATAAGACAAGCTTGCCCTCACCTCCCCCCAAAAGATCCAAGGGAGTTAGAAATGTGTAAATTTGAGTTTCTAGACTGTCAAAGTTTATTACTTGAGCTTTGACAGGGAATGTATATACTGTGGAGTAGGATATATACTTCTGTTTGAGCTGGGCTGGCTCACAGGGAAGACATTGGCTAAAATAACTCCAGCCAGCAATGTCTTGACCTGCAAACTGAAATGATCCTCACAGTGCAGTGAGTGAAGCAGATAGTTTGTAGTTGAATGTCAGTACTTCTGTGCCTGAGCTTGGATTTTCTTATAGTGGCATGGATTTTGTCAAGTTTTCTCTCCTAAGGAGGGAACTGGGATGACTTTACTCAAGACCACAGAGTGTAAATAACACTTTGGACACCAGTGCTARTATTCTGAGGTGAGGAGTAAGCCTTCCATCTCTTTGATTTTTGTACACTTAGCACATTGTAATGACTCATGTTCTTCAGATATCTCTTACTCCTTCACCTTGCCACCAGAACACTGACATGGTTCCTATGTTATTGTTGTTTGGTAGACSAGTTTCAAGAGTCCACATCTCAGCCCTGCAGCTACTGTGTTTTTTTTCAACCCAGGTGTAAAGGCTTGTCCTTTAACAATATCTTTGAATGGAGTTGGGGAAAAGATGGTATAGAAGAAAAGGCAGGGAGARAAGGGATTTGTAAGCTCTTCCCCACAATCCTTGGCCCCCCTTTGGTCAGAAGACTTCTAAATCGTACCAAGTTTCATAAATCCCAGCAGGAGTAGTTAAGGTAGGACTGCTTTTGCTTTTGTTGAGCCTACAGGAGGGCTTGCCTAKAAGAGAAAATGTGAAGCAGGTTCAGATATACTCAAAAGACCTGTGCCTATGAGCTGCTTGTGGAAAGCCTCCTTCCAATATCAGCAAGGAAGTGGAGCCCCAAACTGCTCTAATAGAGCAGTGTTTTTGTGTCCTGAACAAAAACTGAAATGTTTTATACAACCTAAATGCCTTTAGCCTGCCTAGCACACAGATTCTGGCACTTTTGATTACATAGTTTAAGTAATACATTCATTCTGAGTGAAAGTGGGAACTAATTTTTATGAAAAGTTKTTGGGGGTAAGTAATCTAAATATTAATAACGATAAATGCTTTACTGGGTATTCAAAGTATTTTGATTCATGGGAACAGTTATAAAACTGGATTTTCTGTTCTTACTTAATTTTTTTTCTAGGGCAAATAATTTTTTGAGAAGGAAAGCTATGAAGTGACAAACAGACATTGACAGGTCAGGAGGGTCGCTGCCCATCCAGCCAGTGCACGTGGTAGCTGTGCTTTGTGCCCCACAACAACCTCTGTGATCTCCCGTGTGGGAACAGCCGTGGCTGAGCTCTGAACCCGTTCCTGAGTTCATATCTCACCTCCCTGACACCAGGAAAGGCTTCTGAAAAGCTTTTTGATTCTTACTGGTGTCAGCTGTTCTAGATAGCTTCCTGGATCCYGTTGAGTATGGTTTCTCCACTTCCCTTCTCTCCGCCTGTAGTTCTTGCTAAGGAACTGCAATCACATTAGGTGATGGAAGCTTAGCTTACCAACAGTGCCTTATTTTAACTACTTTTTACCAGGGCTTGTTCACTTCCACGTTCACAATAATCCAGTGCAAGCCATGTATTTYTTCAGAGAATGTTTGCCTCTTGTGTTATCCTTTCCATAGCTGAACTAATACAGTGATTTAACTAATGCAGTGATGTAACTCTGATCTATTAAATGCTGTACCCACTGGGTGGTGATCTTCTGTTCTATTGAGTTGTGCCTTGTTTAAAAAAAAATTGTTTTTTAAGTACCTGCTTCTCTGAATCCCATTCCCACTTTAGTTTCTCTGGGGCCACTGCACTATACATACAATTGCCTAATTTCAAAGTGTCTCCAAAGTGGTACTGAACTGGTTTTATGCAGGGAAATGTGCTTTATGGRCTAAGTGTGGAGCTAGGTTAGCATTATTGTGCTTAACATCAGCCATTGGGAAGGACTTTGCTTCATGAGACACAATTAGGACAGGTAACTTGAAGAGGAAATGTTGAAAAGGAGGAGGGTGAAATAAAAGAGCAAAAGGTTTTATTATAAAGCATTTTTATTTTTTGAGAGTTTTAGTAGGTGAACTCTGTAAATGGCAGCTTGGTTATGACCTGGGTTAGCAAACTGGTTCCCTTTTCTTATGTTTTGTGGGGTTTTTTTGCCTTTTAAAATGCCCAGAATCCTCCAACCTGTCTCCCATCCTGGCAGTGGTGTTTATACTACATATTCTTCTCCTGTTTTGTGCAGCCACTGCTATCGCAGCTATGCTGAATGASGTCCCAGCCTAACTACAATATTAACCCTGCAAATCTGTTCATTTTCTCTTGAGCAGCCCCAGGCAGGGTGTACAGGAGAATGTATCCAATTGAAAAACTGTCATAGACTCGGTGGTGCTGCACTGTGCTAAATTCCAAGAGAGCTGGGGACCATGGATGGTGGTGTCCTTCTCACACAAGTTACAGAATTTGTTTTTCATTTTAGTCTCAACTTTCATTAGTGATTTTATCTTTATTTTTGCCAAACTGTTTGTCTGCTTTTTAGTCACTGAAATGTTTTACTCAGACCTGCTGCTTTTCTCCTGCTATAATCGTCCAATTCGTGCTGCCCCCGCCCCCGGTTTCTATCAGTCCTTTCACCTTTGTAGTTGTTGTTTTTCATTTTTTCTTCATTATTTTACTAAATACCGCTCTGCAGATCAGTAGCATCTTGGGTGGTGGTTGTACCACATAGCATTTGTAGCAGACATTAGTTTTGCATAGCGTGTGTACCTTATTTTGTCCGGACTTGTCTTCTTTGTGCTGCAGGCACCTCCTCCAGCAATTGTAGTGATTAAGCCTGGTATTTCTGCAGATTTATATTAACTTCTGCTTATAAAGAAAGAGAAGAAACCCTACCCTGTCCCCCSCACCTGAACTAGATGTTTTTCTTCATTCCCTTAGTTTTTATCAGTATTAGACCTAAGCTTGCTTTTGTGTATGAAAGAAAATTAGTTAAGTACCTTGTGGTTTATAGATGCCTTTTGTTACATATTACTCGGATTTATTGTGCAACGTTGCCCTGTAAATCATTTCAGCCAGACATTTACCTGGCTCGTGTTGCCTTTTTGGTTGGAGTCTTTTAACAGCCGTGAAAAATGGAGAAATGATGTTTTTGGCGGTGGCGGACTTTGCAAGTCCGAGYGCCCCGCAAGTCTCTCTCACGGCCGCGCTCCGCTTTGGCGAGGTTTGCTGCCTGGCTCTGAGGAGATGTTTACAAGGAATCCATTGCTTTGTGCAGCTGAAAGACGGTGTTGAAAGAACAAAGGGAGTTTTGTGATGAAGTGTATCTGACTTCTCGCTGCTTTGCTTACCTTTCAAATGTAAAACTTAGTCATTTGCAAGGGCTTTCAGTTCTCAGGGCATCCCTATAAGATTCCACCCCGCGCGGAGCTGTCTCTCAGTCGAAAGCGGGGCTGTCTCCAAACCGCTCTCGAATGCATTTCTATTTTAATCCCCAACTTTGCCTGCCGCCTGCCTTCCTGGCTCCAGCTCACCGCCCTGCCCTGCCCCACYCGCGCACGCAGGCGGCCGCTGCTCCGCGCTGCCGGTGCGGCGCTGCCTTTGTGACTAAAAGTTGGTTTCATCAGCAAAGCATCGGCTCCCGCTCCGCGCTCGGAGCTCGCCGGCCTCGGGAAGCCGCTCAGAGCTGCAGCCTATGTGGGGCACGCGGGGGCAGCTGGCGCCATACGTATAATTTTTTTTTAAATGGAAAATGTCTTTCTCAAAGGCTGTCGATGTCCAGTGGTCTGCAGTCCATGAGCAGTTGACTAGTCCAGGTGTTTCTGCTTCTGTTCCTGTGCTATGTGAATTGGGAGTTCGAGAGAAGAGTGTGCAGGATGGAGGAGTTGAGGGTTTGTATTTCTGTTCTGGTGGTWCTGCAGTGACGGAGGGCTTGGGAAGGAACAGAAAGTCTGCCTGGGGTCGTCTTAATTAAGGAAAATACTGTTCTCGGTCTCTTTGTCTGCCTCTCTTTCTGTCAGTGCCTTTATCAACTCTTAAAAGTGAGAGCGACCCTTWTTGTTGGTATGGATTGACTGTCACAGGTAGTAGTCAGGAAAAACTTGTTTTATTGAATGYGGTTTCTATTTTGTGGGTTTTATCAGTGCGTTTTGCCCCACTTATTTAAAATGTAGCCATTTAAGACGCTTAGAGCTGGATTAATTTTCAAAACTGCCGAATATTTGTCTGTGCTTTACTGAGATAAAAGTTATAATCTGAGACGATGAGACAGTCCTATTGATTCGAGACTGTGGGTTTCTGTGAGGTTTTTAAGCAGATCATTAACCCAGGTCTATCTTTTCACAGGACAGTCGGCCCAATATGTCAAGACCTCTGATCACTAGATCCCCTGCATCTCCATTGAACAATCAAGGCATCCCCACTCCAGCACAGCTCACAAAATCCAACGCACCAGTTCACATTGATGTGGGTGGGCACATGTATACCAGCAGTCTGGCCACGCTTACAAAATACCCCGATTCCAGGTAACTTTAAAAAGCTTCTTCTGCATGTCTTTGGCAAACTCCTTTTCTTCCATTTCGTGCTTGGACGTCCTGGGGCTGTCTCAGAATGATGAATTTAGTTCCTTTTGTTTCAAAATGAAATTAGCTTTCTTTGTTAGTAGGCAGTTAGAGACTTCCTTTTCTTTCCCTGCTCCAGTGTGTTTCTGACAAATGGCACTTCTGCAAATCCTGATGTGTGTGTACTGAAACAAAGCTGATAGTAAAGAGCACTTACTTTCTACTACCTAGGATTCTGGGTTTATGCCAGGGCACCCATGCTGTGGTTTGTTACATTCAAAAACTGTAGTGTTACTGCATGTAAGCCCAAAGGTGGGGGTGTTGGGGTATTTGTTTTGTTTCTTTTGGAACAGTAACCACTCTCCTGTCTCAGATGTGTCACTTGAGGCAAAGGCAAGGTTGAATGAAATAAACTATAGAACAGTATTAATGGAATACTTTTAATAGAATCTTAGGACWTTTGAAATAATTAGGTTCTTAATTCTCACACACCTTTTGAATGAAGTATTTGTGGCTCTGGTAGCTTGCTGGTATTGAGCAATCAGAGCATGCACGAGTAAACGGTGCAGGTAGAATGGATAAAACCAGAGTGCATCTCTGAGAAAAAAGCAGTGCATTTAGCAGTGTGGGCATTACCTGGTGATGACGGCAGACAAAGAGTGTAGAGGTGCTGTAATTSTAAGGGCTGGTTATCAGACAGCAGGTGCTCACTGTGTCCAGTGTATTCATCCACACCCTGCCCTTCACCCCCATTCCCTCTCTGGAGGGAAAGCAGTGTTACCCTTGTGTTCTCTCCACTCTGAGGGGGCAGATTTTCAGTTTCTTGATCCCACAGCTCTGACTTGCCTTTCCAAASGGCACAAAGCGCATTTCATGGGAGGTGACTTTGTGCAAAGCATGCATTTCCATTGATGCTACTGCCTCTGCAGCATGGGCTGGTAGTATTGGGTGGGCTGGAGTAGTGCTCCTGACACAAGGAGCTGACAGCAAGGGCTGGAGGAGGAGAACAGTAAATACAGCGAGGCACATGGCCTTTCCTATGACAGCTCCTCAAGGAAGGCCCGGCAGAGGGGAGTAAAAGAAGCCATGCCAAAGCCTGGGTCTGCCAGGAGAGATTGAAGTCATGTCTGGGAAAACTGGAACTGTTCTTCGAAAACCAAATCTGTTGTTTTGKGGATTTTTTTAGGAGATGCTTGTGTTCAGCTCCCAGTAGTTGTGATCASTGAGTGGGTTTTTTGGTCGTTGGAGCAGTGATGGTGTCTGACACTGTTGTGTATGCAGCATGAGAGGCTTCTGCTTCTGTTTTCATGTCAGATTCACAGAGGGAGTGTATTACTTCAAGTGAAGAAACACTAAAATGTCATTCAAAAATGTGTATGGTGGCAGTGGAGTTTAAGCTTAATGTATTCTGTGCTCAATTGAGCCATTGTAGCACTTGAAAGTGAATGCTATGCCTGTAGTATCAAAGCCTGTTTAATAAATTAAACATTTTAAAAGCTCTTCAAGCATAATTTAAGGAAAACCCAAACTCTGAGTTATAGTCATGCTGTTTCAAGTCGTTCTGACATGTGTTTGTGTTTCAGTTCTGACAGTGTCTTTTGAACCTCTTGATGAGTGAATATTTCCAGAGTAGCTGTTAGAACCTGGAATTCCCAGCCACTTCCAGAACTTGAGAGGCTTTTTTTAACGTTAGCARCTTCAAAAGAGCAATTATTAAATTCGTTTGAATGTCAAGACAATGGCATGAAGCAGTACTCCAGTAATCATGATATAGTTGTTTGGGTTTTGTCTGAGATTTTGCCATCAGGTTTTTTTCTAGTGGAGGGTTGGGATGAGGAGTATATATATTTATGTGTATATATATATATATACAGATATATAAATATATAGATATTTATATAGAGTGAGTGCTAGGTAAAAATTATCCAGTAATATTTGGACATTAATACAAATTGTTTCTTGGAGACTGACCTGGTCAGTTTATATCTAGACTCTAACTTTGTTACTCAACTTTAGCACAAGGTTYTTGTCAGCATTGCTTATATGTTTCTTTTTCTGCCAATATCACATGCATCAATGATCTCAAAACTGAGGAAGTTCTCATAGACATTTTTGGGCCAATTGAAACCTCCTGAGACTTACTGTCATACGAAGTCTTGTCTATGAAAAATAAGGTCTTGATTATCTCGCTCCAAAAGAGCACTGCTCCAGGGATGAGTCAAGGCATCGGTTGCAGGCTCCAGCATGCAACAGGTTGAGACACGAAAGTCATTAGGTTTCTGACTCGTATTACATGCAGTCTAAGGGCCAGAAGCCTAAAATGAACCTTTCATCTGTAGGCCAGCTACCAGAGTCATCTTTCTTTGTGAGATTGAAAGGGTGATATTCAAACCAGCAGCTTTGGAGTCACTCTGACTTGCTGGTGTGAWGAAGACCTGTTCTGATAGAACAGGTACCAGTCTCTGCTTTGGAACAAGTGTGCTCCTCCTTCTCCTTTTSGGCTCAGGAGCATCCCATCTTGTACCTCTCTGTTTTCTTCCTCCTCTTTAAAAAAAGAGTTCCTTAAGTGATATCAGGTAAAGACTTGTAGCTCGCAGGGCTCATTTTCCATAATTCSTCTCTTAGGTTCCCCAAGCTGGTTTGTGCCTTGACATGTAAAATGCCTCCTGACAGATACCCATTCATTCCTCCAAAGAAACCTTGGTGTGACTGTGAAAGTGTCTTGCTGTTGCTGCTGGATCCCTTCCCTGTGCTTTGGAAAGACCATTGGGGGCTTCTCTCTAATGCTCTTGAGATTGAAGAACCCTAGGGATCAGAACCTATCTGTGTTTTGGTCAAAAACGGACTCAGTGAAGCAATCCAAGAGACAAGCAGCTTATCTAATAGATGGCTTGGATTGAGTAATCCTAGAATTTAAAATTCTGAAACTAAAAGAATGCTTTAGAAAGTCCTCAAAATTAATTTTACAATCTTGTAGCAAATAACTCAAAAGATCCCAGGTATATTCCAGACTAGGRAGAACTATTGTTTTCACAAGGCAAATCCTCTATGAATACTTTATCTCATCAACAGGCTTCAGGTTCTCCCAAGAAACCAGAGAAACCGTGCCTCAGACATGGTCTCTTGAAGCTGAATAATACAATTTGCCAGGTTTAGGCTTCAGGAAGAGGCAGTTTAAATCAGTGTATCTGCCAAGAAGGCTTAATGTAAGGTCTCTCTGCTGAAATAAACAGCAATTTTCTTTTAAAGTCTGAGGAGGGAGCAGGTGTCCTTCTATGTAGCTCTCTCCACCAAGATTGTAGACCTTTGTGCATTCACTCATGTACAGATTGTACAACCTTCAGTTTACTTGAAATTACCAGATAATCCGGTTCATATCCAGCAGCACAGAGCTATTCTGTTAAAGACTTGGTGCACAATTTTTTTTAAAATTGATTGTGGTTTGCAAATAAAGATTTTTTTTWAATTGTTTTCTTTCTACTGCCCAGAAAAAAAAATATTCCAGGGAACATGGATCCAAGATGAGTGTCTAGTAAAGGAGCCTTTCTCCCCTGAAAGCTGAGGCACCTGCATGCTGTGCCATTGTTCCCCATGGTCACCAGACAGTCTGAGAACAGGTTGAGGTGTTAGGATTTATGTTTATGASGGGAGGAATCACTGGCCTGTTAGCTCTGATATTTTAATCTGCTCTCCTTGCAGTAGGATTGAACCTTTGCTTGGAGTCGGCATTCCTACATCTTACAGCCTTAATGCTGTCTGTATGGCATCTACCATAAGTTATTGTGTGTCAGGCTATGGCAACCTCAACCCACTATCAGAGCTGAATGGGAAGATGTTTAACTTTGATCATACGAGCATCAGCTGTCTGATATCTCTGGTATCAGCAATATCAGCAGTGTTGTCTATCTCGTATGTTCAAAGCATCTGAACTTTTAATTAGTTCTGTCCAAGTCAACTGGTACAAATATTTGCATAACACCCTGGCATTGGATTGCCACATTCTTTATGGCCACCACAGAATGTGAAAAATTCACTTAAAGCCTTGTATATATTTCTTTGTAGAGCCTTTTGGAGTATCTGTTTGCGTTGCTACATCTCCCATCTTGTGCTACTCCCTGCATATGAAGATGGATTCTTCTTATACAGTATTTCACAATCCTTCCAAATTTCTGCCCAGGGCTATTTCAGGTTTTCATATGAACCAATCCATTCGTGTCCCAGTTTTCTTACCCAATCTTCACTCTCAGCCCTCAGGGAAATTAAATTTCACACACTTGGATCCAGTTAGGACACTGGCTTTTTTTTCCTTTTTTTTTTTTTTTTTTTTTTTTTTTTTTTTTTTTTTTTTTTTTTGTATTGGTAAGGGTTTCTTTTGCATCAAGAGCACAGAATTACCTAGGAGAATGCCCAGACTGTCCTTGCCCKTTTTTGACAGTTTGCAAAAAAGACTTACCCTTTGTGTAAGGGGTTCCAAGGCCATGCTATGAATCAGGCAGGTTAGCACTGTTTTCCTGTTTCAGAGCTCTGGCAGTTTCTGTTTTCAGTTCCAAAACACACCAACATGGCCCTCAGCACCGTGCTGGTGATTTCTGTCTTGGTAGGAGATCTGCTGTGGTGAGGGTGGTCTGCACTTTGCACAGGCTTCCCTCTGTAACACCTCCATGAAGGCAGCCGTGTCACAACTTTTCTTCTCACCTTGGATAGAACCTCTCGAACTGCTCTAAGTTATGTTAAACTTAAAGGAAGCCAGGATTTTCTGACTAATAAGCATTTGGTGATTTGGGKTTTTTTTAGCAAATATTGAGAGAGTGGATGTTGCTGCATCTTTATTTCCACTCTCGTTTTTTGGATTTATCTTCCTGAGAGGTACCTCTCTATCTCTATCTTTCTAGAATGCCAATATCAAAGTCTGATGATGTAGTAGTTCTTAAATCAATGTAATATTACAGTAACAAGACTACAGG